TAATTTATTATAATTATATTTTATTTTTTATATATTTACATATTTTAATAAAAAATCTAAAATATAAAAAAAAAAATATTTTATTTTTTTATTTTCGAGTTCGAACGAGTTCAACAAATTTCAAGTTAATCAAACATATTTAAAAAGTTTATGTACTAAATTATTCTACACGAACAAACTTGAACTTTGACGAACAATTAAACGAACGAGCTCGAATACGATTTTTAGCTCGAAAATTAAACGAACGAACACGAACACTGTTCGAACATAAACGAACACGAGCTCGAACAGCCTAAGCTCGGTCCGCCGGTCCGGTTCGGTTCGGTTCATTTAAAGCACAACTCTTATGGAGAGGGTGCTTTTAGGAATTAATTATGTTCGGCGAGTAGGTTGTTCGGATACTATCCTTAAGAGAACTTTGTGCCTCGTACAGCAGAAATGCCCCGAGAAAGTTAATGTATTTTATATCTTTGTTATTATAATTTCCAAGTTTACATCATGAAACCCTCGTTACGTTAAGTGTCAATGGTCAACGCCGTGTTTATGTGATCATCGTAGTGAAACCAACATAAATATATAAAAGAAGATGATCGCCTTGGAACAAAAAAGCAACTTTCGTAGTTTTATATCTCTGCCTTAGCCTTCTTAGGAAAGTGGCATTGTCTAATAAGTGTATTTAATCAAACAGTGGATATCACACTGGAAAAACTACCGAGACAAAAACCTGAAGGATATGAATCTTAACCAAGTATTCTAGTTTCAGAGTCTATTCTCTGGACTTCTCCAGTCATGCTGGGACAAGGACTGGGAGATTTAGATGCATTTTCTGCTTACAGAAATGTTATGCATATCCGTGCGAGAAACTGAAAGCGCAAACAATATATAACAAACTGTGAGGAGAATAGTAGATCAGAAAACTCACAGTATGCTTCCCATCCAGGTAATCAAGATCATCCCGCAGTGTGATATAGAACTGGAAAAAATAAAAATAAAAAATAAAAACAAATTGAGAAGAAACCTCTTCCAGGCAAGAGGAACATTTTACTGTTTGACCAGAAAGACTATTTATGGTAAAAAGAACACATGTAGCCATACCTGAGAAGCATTCAAATTCTCTCCACCACTAGCCATGGCCACCGTCCCCATCTTCGAATGTTTTACATCCAAATGAATCTCATCACTGAAAAAGCGAGCTTGATCTCCATATAGAAATCTGAAATCACATGTCTCGAAAGGGTCATACATCACAAAGAAAGGTGAAATATTCAAAACCACAGCATTACTTAAAGAACTGCAAGGTAAACAACAAGCTTTACAACCATGCATGAAAATCAAAAAGAAGTTTGAAAATCACCAAATTATGAATAATAATAATAATAACCTTATATAATTAACTTAAAGAAGTTAGTTCGGGCATGCATTAAAAAGTGGAAAACACATCTCTAACATATCACAGTTATGGGCTTTATATATATCCATTACAGTAAAATATATAGAAAAGGTATAATAAAAAACCTTACTTGTACACAGAATCACCACCAGATCCTGTACCAGTAGGATCACCCGTCTGTGCAGTAAAATCTTTCTGCACTGTGTGAAAGAGGCATCCATTATAATACTTGATTCTGCAATAGAAAGTCAAATAACATAGGATCAAATCTCGTCCAATATATTCTCCCTTATAAAGTTTAAACAAGTTTGTTTAGTGTAGAGGGTTGTCCTCTGAGACAGTTTATGTCAACCGAATATCAAATTGGTAGTTTTTCTTCAACTGAAAGAATGCATCAAATAAGTCTACAATCATTCTCCACAAAAAA